CTGAACATACATGAGCTTATCTGAGATTTACAGTTCCGAGTTCAGTTAGTCGTCTTCTGACAAATACGTCGTTATCAACAGCGCACCACAATGAGAGGTGAAGAACTGAGCCGGTGACCCTGAAAACGGTGGCCCTGCACTTCCCCCGACCTCACAACTTGCTTTGACCTTCAGATGATGCTTGGACAACCCTCGACACCTCTGTCCACAGATAAGCCCGGAGGATCTGGGAAGCGGAGATGGATGGGTTCCCGGCCGAGGGGTTAAAGCAAGCGAGGAGAAGCGCGTGCGAGGAGCAGAATGCTGATTCAGCGTGACTCGGCGCTTTTCTGCGCGTTTGCTGCTGTGATTACTGAAAATGGGAAGATGAAGGCATTTACGGTGTGATTAGTAAGCTTGCTCACACGAACACCGAGATCTGCAGAGCAACCTGACCTCCTCTTTAAATAAACCATTGTTTCTCTCAGGACAATCAGCAATGTTTCAGCGCAGGAAATTACATTAGCAGACGGAGCTGCGTTTCACAAGGGGCCGATGTCACAACACTTGCAGAAAACATTAAAAAATGCAAATGAAAAAAAAATCAAGGATAGAGGACTAAATAGCTGCAGAGTGTCAGTACACTCTGCACTTATTAAAATTCAACTAAACATATTAAAGAAAAATATTTTGTTACTCTCTCTCTCTGTCTCTATAGAAAGATAGCTAGAGAGAGAATTTATTATTATGTGATGTAATATGTATATTCGTCACTATACATATACAGTAGTTGTAAAAATACATTTTATTATTATTACTACTACTACTACTACTACTATTTGTAAAGAAGTCCACAAAATAAAGGACTGTGTAAGTGCATTCAGTTTCGTTACATTTTTTTCTGATTTTTTTGTTTAAAAAATATAATTAAAATGTAATTAAATATAATCAAAGATACTATATTAGTATACATTAAACACTATATATTAAACAATACAATATTATATTATTAAAATTTTAAACATAAATAAATAAATAAATATACACACACACACTTATATCACTAAACAAATATACAAATTATTAGTATTAGTACTACTACTATTAGAAAAGTTGCAAAAATGAAGAATTACATAAGTGCACTGTGTGTCTTCTCTTTTTTATGATTTGTTATTGCTTTATCATTAATTATTTAAAAATAATTAAAATATAATTCAATTACATAACAAGTAAAAAAATTATAATTAAAAAAAATATTATGTTACCATACATAACTATATCATGGAAGTTGCAAACATTTATAATATTTACATTTTTTATTTATTTATTTATTTATTTATTTATTTATTTATTTATTTATATATAAATATAATCCATACAAAGATGGAAATATCTGATACATCTATGAAGGTTGTATCAATAAATTACTCTTGCAGCATTCTCAAGTGAATGCTAGATTTAAAACTCGATGTATAAAACATTTTTTTATTAATTAAATTATGAAGTGAGTTAGGGTGAAATTACAAGAAGCACAAGGTCGACTTTAAACTGAAACACCTCTGAACATGTTTAACAGATTTACCTCAAATAAATCCTTTATACACCATTTTTAATCCTACAGTTCTGCAGCATATTTGACCCATGCCTCAAGAATCACTTATGGACTTTCTTGACAGGATCATTGTGCTGAATGTGATGCACTGCAGGATTTGACTCTGGATTTTCAACACTAATTCTCTTCACTAATTCTTCCCTTGCTCCTCTGCAAGCCCGTACGGCTTTCCAAGCGACCTCGGAAGTAGATGCGATGACCCTTCATTCTGTAGAGTCCAAAACATACATCTTTATCCGAATAACCTCAGCGTGAGAGCGTGGGAAGACACAGAGAGTGCATTCATCATTTTAACGATTAATTTCCTTGTCCTGTCCTTCCCCGGATCTATTAATATCATTCCTGAGGTGTAAGTATGCATTTCCCGTCGATGAGATTTATTCCGATATCATACCTTCCATTACTCATCCCGCAGCACCTGCGATTTAGGAGTCAAATCAAATTCAATATTTTTTAATCAGAATATGAAAATCTTAACTTGATCAAGCCATCTTCTGGTATTACTTTCCTCATTTCTCACAAGAAGAGTCGTGAGGGCTCATATTTGGAGGATTAAATTCAAATGTTTTGCAATAATTGTTAGAGAATGAAAAATTAAAAATCCCAGCAAGGTGTCGGTAAACATTAATCAGATCGTCCGGCTTTTTTTGCCAGGTAATTTGCCTTAATATTGAAATGTTCTTTAATAACTCTGATTATTAAAGGATTCTGCGGATGTCTCTGCACCGTTTCTCCGCTGGCGGATTGCGGCACGCTTGCAAAATGCCTCAGAGCAGAGCTGCTACATTTATTAAAACACGCCGTGATTTGAAGCTGTCGGGGCTGAGGAATTATCTGCCATCGAGAGGGGGCTTTGTTCAATTAGATATCGCCACTGCTTTAAAACACTTTAGATTCCCCTGTAATCCATTGGCATCCTGTAATTAATCAACTAGTTCCAAGTCTCAGGATGGCTGTAATTACGGCACCTCGTAATAGCTTATTCTTTCTGCTCCAGCACCTACATTTCATTTGTTTATTTTCTCACACTCATAAATCTGGGGGAAGTGTCAAGAGCGCCACAATATTAGTGCAATAATCAAAGTTAATTATCAGACAGCCCTCGCGCCCCCCTCCTGCTAATAATGGAGGCTATCAGAGAGATCGGTCTCGGCTCGGGCTGCGAGCACAGAGCCACGGGCAAAAACCCTGCCACACGACTTCAAGACGAGATGAATATTAATTAAGAATTAGACTGTAAAAGTGAGAAATTAAAAGAGGAGTTGAAAGCTAGGGGATCTTTAGGAGACGTTTGAGATTTTACGTTTGCTTTTTGATGTTAAAAGTCTTCTACAAGAGCAGCAAATTTTTTTTTACTTAAATTAAGGATGTTTACCAGAAGTTCTAGAAAAAGAGCAGACAATTATGGCCAGAAACATATTTTACAAAAACACAGATATAAATGCTTGACCAACGCAATTCCATTAAACATACTTAACAAGCTAAGATTCCTAAGCTAAGATTCATTAGCCATCTTCAAGAATCGGCTAAAAACACAACTCTTCCATCTTTATTTGACCCTCTAACTCTAGCACTCTCTATTCTAATTCTATTCTTTAAAAAAAAACACTTGTCCATTTTAGACTCTAACTCTATTCATAAAACACATTTCTTCCATCTTTATTTGACCCTCTAACTCTAGCACTCTCTATTCTAATTCTATTCTTTAAAAAAAAACACTTGTCCATTTTAGACTCTAACTCTATTCATTTGCTGCTTGTTTTCTTTTTTTTTTAAACTAACACTTGCTTTCTAATCTTTTTGTATTCTATCTGTTTTCTTTTCATTTATCATACAATTAACAAAAGCAAAAAAAGACCTCTAACACTAGCTTGCTCTATTCTTTTTCTATTCTATCTGTTTTCTTTTTATTTATTATGTTATTTAAAAAACCCTTGCTACGTGTACTGCGTTAAGCTAACTGAGACTTGTTATAGCACTTGTATATCATTGCTCTTTTGTTGATTTTGATTGCTTCTATTGTCCTCATTTGTTAGTTGCTTTGGATAAAAGCGTCTGCTAAATGACTAAATGTAAATGTAAGTGTAAATGTAAGCATGCTTAAGATACTGCGCCATTAACAAAGGGGTGTGCTACGGTTAAGACCAGTTCACACCAAGAACAATAATGACAATAAAGATAACTATATTTTTTATTTTTATTGGTTGTCATTGTTCTTATAAGTCATCAACTGGGAAAAAATCATCTGAGTGTGACTCCAATGATATTGTTCTTCTGTGTTGTTATCGTTATAGTTGTAGTGTGGACTTCCCTATTCTTGAAGGATTGGAATGATTATTAAAACTTTATCCCTTTAATACTAAATCAAGTGCCTATTTAAGTGGTGAAAATAGATAGAAACTTCAATAGCTTCAGTAATGACAATAAAATAAAACCGGACCCAGGACAAGACCTTGTGGCACCTCTATGACAGAACACAAAAACACCTATTGTAAAGACATTTACACTGTTAAAAATAATTTTATTAATCTGTATTTTTTTTCCTAGAAAAAAAAACAATCTAAATATCCTTAAATTTACTGGAAAAGCAACATTTTATAAGATATGACTGTCACAGAAAAATCTTGAATTAAGTTTAGTTTTCTCATTAGCAAATAATCATTATCTTGTTTCAAGCATACGCCTTACCAATTTTTTTCTTCTTCTGTGTTTTTAGTTTTAGTGTGGAATTTCCTATCTGACAGAATTAGAATGGTTATTAAAACTTAAGCTAACAGTTATCATTATAGTTATTGTCTTTGTTATGAAAAGTCCTTGTAAAGTTTGAACCATCAAATGGAAGTATTTATCAGCTTACAATATGCTATGACTTTGTTGTAGATACAGTGACGGATCAGCTGATAGATGCGGCTTTCAGACGCTCGCATGTGATCCTGTGTAAACGCTCGGTGAAGAGCGTGAAGCGATGATCATTTAAGCCAAATGAAAATTTGGGAAATGGACGTTTATAAAATTTCAGTACCAACTGGTATCGCGGCCGGTACTTTTGACAACACTAATTTGCGAGCAGTGCTATTTGTGTGGAATGCAAAGAGTTATTACCTATGAAGAACTTTTCAGCTCATATCAGCTGAGATTACATATGAGGTTACATGTCAGTTAGGATGCTGCCATAGACGGCAGCTAACTATGTAGGAAGTAGACAGTGAGGCAGCTCACTAGGATTTGGAAGAGCGCTAATGACTCAAAGCTCCACCTAATCGTGTGACTCATGAGAAGGCAGAGATGCCAGCTACACAAAATGTGATTTATGAAATGTAAAGGTCACACGGGATGACATCCCACTGCAGGAGGAGTCAGAGTGTGTGTGTGTGTGTGTGTGTGTGTGTGTGTGTGTGTTCTTACTCACCCATTCCTCCGTGATCAGACTCACTGCTTTACTGGCACGACTTTGGTTTCGGCATGCTAGGATCACATGAGCACCATGAAGAGCGAAAGATCGGGCAGTCTCAAAACCTGCAGATAGGGTGTGGGTGGGTAGACAAGGGATGGTGGAAGAGAGAAATAAAATGATTAAGATAAGTCGCTTGACTACGATAAGTTATTTGCAGCAGCTGAATCCGAGCAAAGGGTGCATGGGTCCTATATCTTGGATTCATTCCCCTTCAGACAGAAATCCAAAGGCTCTTATGAAACTCAATCAAGTCCATTTTCAAGTGATACAAAATATCAAATTGTCACAGAAACTCTAATAGCTTTAGTAAGGATAATGAAATAAAACCGGACCCAGGACAAGACCCTGAGGCACCTCTATGACAGAAAACAAAAATGTATATTGTAAAGACATTTACAATGTTAAAATATTTTTATAAAACTGTATTTATCTTTTTCCAGTTTAAAAAAATAAATATCCATAATTAAATAAATTTACTTGAAAAGCAAAACCATGTGAGATTATATAACTTATTCTCAAAAAAATATATACTGTAACTTGAATCAAGTTTAGTTTTCTTACCTCATTAGCTAATTATCTTCCTCTTGTTTGAAGCATAAGCCCCACCAAATACTTAGATTTATAATTTAAATAAAAAACATAGGGGTAAAGAAAAAAATTAACATAGTTAAAAAATATATATTCTCTGATGCAGGTCTTAATATCTTGTGCAATTTTATTTCTAAAGTAAATTGATGATTTTTTTTTTTTTTTTTGCTTGTACTGGAAAACAGAGCAGAAAAAAGCATGGATTAAGAAAAAGTAACAAAAATAACAAAGAATAAATCATTAAAAGGGGGACTAAAGTCTTTTATATATCAACTTCCTTGCAAAACCCATGATCTTAAAGCACTTCAAAGCTAATGTGATAAGACGCTTCATCACAGAGCGTAAAAGATATTTCGGCCTCATTTAGAAATTGCTCTGATGGTTGCCTCATATCAGTTTCTCAAATTAATTTTCGAAATCGCCACTCTAAATGGGTCAGTCAAACCTGAAAAGTAGAAACAATGATCTAAATATATACATATGGGAAGGCAGAAACACAAAACATTTGCTTCACCGAAAAAGGTTATATTTAGGGGGGACTTGGGGTATTGTTTTGGCTGGTTTTGCTGACCTGCCATTTTGCATTGTGCCTTTGATTACACCAAGTATGTTTAAAGTTTCTCTTAAGCTGGCATCAGCACTTTATTACCCGGAGTGGGCACTAGTCATAAAGATACACGTGTCTCAGAATAGATAATGCGAGAAAAAGCCTCAAGTTCATAACAATGGCTCGAGTTTGCAGGTCCGACATTAATAATCAAGTTAAAAAAAATCAGAGGGAATTTCAGATGGGGCAAACGGTCTATTTTGCCATCATACGAAGGACACAAAGGTCAAATCTCTAAATTTGCAGTGTCCCACGACACCAAGGTGCAGGAAACTGCTGTCCTGTCGGCAAGACTTTTGAGCTTTGTGGCTTTTTTTAACCAATAATCCTCAGGTGCATGTTTGTATTTCTGCCAGCCAAATTTGCTCATTAAAACCAGAGTTTAATTACAGCAAACTGGCTGAAAACGCTAACAGATATGCGCTCTCTTTGCAAGCTACTTTTGTCGTAATCTCCTATTAATGTAAACCAGACACAAAGACAGAAATAAATTGGCCTTTGCACTTTTCCCTTGACACGCGGGAGCTCAAACGTTCGTCTAAGTGTGGCAGCAGCTAGCAGGTGGACTAAATGTGCTGCGTCGCCGCATGGCTGTTCCCCCGTGCAGCGGCGCTTTACTGGCTGGCCTGCCTGCTCTCTCTGACTGTGAAATAACCCTTGGCCATTCTGCTTGTAAAACATATTACACTGTCATGGCTCAGAAAAGACCTGACAGGCCAACACAGCTCAAACAGAGAGGCATGACTCCATCGCTCTGTGAACCCTCTCCAATGCTGGGAATTATGGGTATCAGTGGATATGAAAGTTGGCAGCTGTCTCTGATTGTGAGTGACACTTGCATGCATGTCAGAGTATTTTTTCGCTTCACTTTTTCCCCTTAAGTTCACTCATGATGGGAGGCCTGCACCATTCATTCCCAAAGACCAAAACGGATGCAGCAATCATTTTAAATGATTTTGGCCCTTTTTATTTTTATGCACAGGAAAGGAGCGCGAACCTCACAAAACCTAAACATTGCTGGCTTATATTTCACCCCTAAATTAAAATAAAGAAATAAGATCAGATTTGCATAAATCAACAAAGCCTATTTTGAGGCCATTATTAGAGCCAGAATTAAAATGTTCAATTTCATTGTTACATTATTTGTGGAATAAACAAACAAATGTTCTATTTACTTTAATAAAGACCAATTTTATGAATGATTGATTGACCGATTGATTTATTTAGAGTAGGCATAAAATGCTTCAGCATATTTTGTTTTAGTGACTGTGAGTGGCTTTGTCTAAATAAATAAATACATATTACTATAGTTCTGTGATTAATGGCTTGTTGAAATATTAATATATTATGACAGCATGTTTAATGTCTTTAATTGATTCTTTTTTGTTTTATGTGTGTACTGTATGTATGTATGAATGCAGGTATTTTTATTATTATTGTATTATATATTTGTTCATTTATGCAAAACCATAAAAATCAAATTTAGCAAGACAAAGCAACTCATGGTAATTGAAAAAGCTACTCTGCATGAATAAACAAATAAATGAATAAATAAATCCATGATGTAATGACAATATAACAAGAATAATTAAAATGTCGAAAATAAATGCATTTAAAAAAACCTACAAAAATATGTAAGATTTACAGTAATATGAAAGGTGGAAATGGGCTCAAATAACACACTGAAAAATCTCTTAATGGTACAACAATTAGACTTTAAGCCTAAATAAAAGAGTTTAAATCTATACTGCATATAATTTTATTTCCTTCTGATTTTGAAGTGGAATGTGAACAGGTGTGTGTTCATGAGATTTACCCTGGACTGAAAAAGAGAGGGAATGGGATTGGAAATGCACTTCAAACGAGTTTTCCAACACACATACATATGTAAAAACCCTTGATTGATAGTCTGGCCTTCCTCTTCTATGCAAACTAACCGAGTTTGACAGTGTGCCGGCATGATTCCGAGCCACAGACAGTTGGGACGATAGCGTGGATTAAAATGAACTTTAATTAGATTATGTTTTAATCTGATTTTCATTAAAAGGTAACTAGGAGGCCTAATTGTGAGGAGAGAGCTAAGGAGTATTACCCATTAAAACTCAAAATTGGAGTAGGATAAGAACTCCTCTCTGACAAACCAAGCATGGAATTCAATTTTATGACACCTTATTAGGAGTAATGGAGAACGCCGTGTGTATCTGCACAAGGGGCTTCCTTCCCGAGAAACAGACACCAAAATACAAACAAGAGACGGGAGAATTTAAATGCCTTTCCTGCCAGCAAACCACCAAACAAAATACCGATTTACTAGCAAATCCATAATATGACAATTAAACACTGCGCTTTCATTGTCGCATTAATGAAAAAAGTGTCGCATTAGCGTTGATCAAAAGAGCAACTCGCAGTCACCTTGTAAAAATCGTGGCGGTTGTTCAGCTTGATGTGTGAATTAATCAACACTGTTGTTTTTTGTAATGGAGAACAAATTAGAACATGTTTAACGACAACAGCGACCCGCCATGTATTATTTATGGAAAATAAGAGGGGCTTGACATTAATTTGGACGTAATGACTCTGCTTGTTCGTCAAAGAGAGGCAGTGAGACCCTGCACGTGTTGGGGGAGAAATCCAGCTAAATTAGCATGACACTTCATTTAAAAAACAAAATGGCTGTCAGTAAGTAATATGATCACTGCATTGAATTTTACTGATGTTTGCTTAGACAAGCATAATATTGTTCATGCTGAGGGTCAGTGATCTGAACAAACCCTCTAACCTTAAAGATCACGCTTCGGCGTATAACGCATTGTGTGGATGCCATGAAGACGGGATGTTCCAGAGATGACCTCTGGGTCAGTTCATGGTTTTATTGTTTTGCTAAGTTCTTCTGCAGGTCACATCCTGATCTCTAGTGGACATGTGCATTTTAGAGTGAAGGATGGGGCAATAATCCAAGACAAACACAAAGAGCGGACAGATTAACACTATAATTCGACAACATGATTCTCGTTGATATTCTTTTTCATCACTCGGACTAATGTCCTCCATAGTTATTTTAACAGGTTTTTTTCTGCTTTATTAGACAGATTTACAGTGCAGAATGCACATCAAATTGTTTTGAACAGAAAAAAAGAGGGAGAAAGTGGGATTTGTAAATGTTGCAGGCCAGAATTGAACCTGAATCATCCACACGAGCACCACAGCTCAAAATTTCAGGAGTACATTGGCTAACCACTGCACCATTGCTCTGTCCTGCACTAGATTATAGTATATAGCAGGGATCCTCAAATCTGGCCCACGAGATCCACTTTCGGAGTAGGATAAGAACTCCTCTCTGACAAACCAAGCATGGAATTCAATTTTATGACACCTTATTAGGAGTAATGGAGAACGCCGTGTGTATCTGCACAAGGGGCTTCCTTCCCGAGAAACAGACACCAAAATACAAACAAGAGACGGGAGAATTTAAATGCCTTTCCTGCCAGCAAACCACCAAACAAAATACCGATTTACTAGCAAATCCATAATATGACAATTAAACACTGCGCTTTCATTGTCGCATTAATGAAAAAAGTGTCGCATTAGCGTTGATCAAAAGAGCAACTCGCAGTCACCTTGTAAAAATCGTGGCGGTTGTTCAGCTTGATGTGTGAATTAATCAACACTGTTGTTTTTTGTAATGGAGAACAAATTAGAACATGTTTAACGACAACAGCGACCCGCCATGTATTATTTATGGAAAATAAGAGGGGCTTGACATTAATTTGGACGTAATGACTCTGCTTGTTCGTCAAAGAGAGGCAGTGAGACCCTGCACGTGTTGGGGGAGAAATCCAGCTAAATTAGCATGACACTTCATTTAAA